TTCAAAGTTGAAAACAAGTCCACTGTAAAGATCCCCATGAACACTTCACAAGGACTGAGTCAAGATGAAGATGGCAAAGATGTTGATCCTACTCTCTATAGAGGTTTGATTGGTTCCCTTCTATACCTCACTACTAGTAGGCCAGATATTTCCTACTCAGTAGGGGTATGTGCAAGGTTCCAATCTAAGCCTAAAGTAAGTCATCTACTCGCTGCAAAGAAGATATTAAGGTATCTCAAAAGTAATCCTAACTCTGGATTATGGTACCCAACAAATGGAGGCTTCGAACTCTATGGCTATTCAGACTCAGGCTTCGCTGGATGCAAAATTGACAGAAAAAGTACCTCAGGTACTTGTCAAATAATTGGAGGAAGACTTTTTTCATGGCTCAGTAAGAAACAAAATTCAATTGCCACTAGCACTGTAGAAGGAGAGTACATAGCGACAGGCAGCTGCTGTGCTCAAATACTTTGGATGAAACAACAATTGAAGGATTATGGTGAAGAATCAAAAGAAATTAGCATACTGTGTGATAACACAAGTGCTATCGCAATCACCTACAATCCAGTGTTTCACTCAAGGACCAAACATATTGAGATCAGGCACCACTTCATAAGAGAGCATGTTGAGAAGAAAACCATCAAGCTAGAGTGTATTCCCACAGAAAAGCAGCTGGCAGACATCTTCACCAAGCCATTGAATGAAGTTTGGAATGCTAGATGATCTTGATCAAGTAAAGGAATAACCATGCACCAATTCAGGGGGAACTTAATTCTCAAATTGAGGGGGAATTCCTAGCCACCTGCTTAGGGGGAACATATACTCAAATCATCATGGAATGAAGCATCAAGGTCCATGAAAGACAAATCTAAGGCACTTACTGCCTCCTAGCAGCAGCAGATGACTGCACCCAAGAAGCAGTAGGCACAGCAGGTGACTGCCTTCTAGCAGCAGTGAGCTCAGCAGGCGACTTCCAACAAGCCCACTGTTACTTTCTCTTTGAGCAATGAAAAGACTTGCATTAATACTTTCATAAAAAGAAGGACAAGCGTGAAACAAGGAAGGTACAATGGAATGGAGGCAAAAACACTGGTTCAATAAAAAATCAAGCAGGTGCCCGCCTCAGGACAGCAGGTGGCTATCTCAGGACAACAGTTGGCTCAATTTCTGACAGAAATACATGGAATCTCAGCACATGGCAAATTTCATCTTGATCCTCTCATATAAATGATTCCAATAAGGTAAACTTTGCTCTCAGAAACCATCAAAAATTTACCCAAGTTTAAGCCCCCTGCTACCAGTGTGAACACAGAAACTAGCAGTTAATGCCAAGAGTGACCAGCCGCATTCTCCAACGGCTATATTCCAACGGCTAGTTTCCGATACACTATAAATACATCCTCCGTACAACTCCTTCACACTTTTACTTTGCAATCTTTCTCTAACCCTACTCTGAGTTCTCAAACGCTCTCAAAGCTCTCAAAGCTCTCAAAAGCTCTCAAACCATCACCGTACTTTCACAACTACTCCAACCCAATCCACCAACCTCATCATAAACAGAAATGGCCTCTCTCATCCAAATCTCAAAATCCATCTACACCGGATTCATCCTAAACACTGCCGTCGCCATAAACAAAGGAGACAATAGTGACCTAATGAAAGAGCTCCTCAGGAAACTAGACACAACAGGGCTTCTCAAGATGGCAACCTACCCCTACTCCCACTTCTATCCTGAAGTGGTAGCAGAGTTCTACATCAACTCCACTCCTCAGACTCTGAAATCAATGGTAATAGGAATTGAAGTAGAGATATAAGAGAGTGAGATCAGAGAGTTGCTCTCCCTACCTGGCAATGAGGCTCCTTCAGTCGAAGAATTTGAACTGGACACCCAACACTTCAAAGAAACAATTTTACTACCGAAAGCTCAAACAACAAAATCTCTAAAAGTCAAGACAAAAATGATGGTTCATGAATATGCCATTCTACTGACTATCCTATACAAGTGCATTGACACCAAGACCACTGCCCTAGATGAACTCAACAAGAAAAGGGCAAAATATCTAGCAGCAATCATGTCTGGGACTCCATTTAACTGGTCAAGGTATGTCTATCTTCACCTCCTAACGTTCGTCAACAAATCTCACAAAGAAAGAAGACAAGACAGTACCCTGCCAACGGTAGGGTGTGGATTTCTGATTGGAGAAATCGTAAAGAAGAAGGGAATCCTGGGAACAACTAAGGAAGCATCAAACTGGAGGAAAATTCTCTTCTAGACTTCCAAGGCAGGGGCCCCAGAAATTCAAAAGGAAGATGATACTTTCCACTCCAACGAGCCTTTCAAAATTTCTTTCAAAATCAAGACAAAGATGGCTAAAAGGCTCAGATCAGGATGCGAAGAAGTCCAGTCAAAGAAATCAAGAACAGAATCAACTCATGATCTTGCAAGAAACATACAAGCAGAAATGGAAGAAGCAGCTACCTCCCCTCTCACAGTCATCAATGAAGAAACAGGATCCCACTCAGGCACACCTGAAGCCAATGAGCCAGCTCTCTCAGAAGGAAGCAAGAGCTCAGTTATACCCCTTTCTGTTATAATGCCAAGACTACAACAACAAGTAGGGCAGCCGGATAGAATGGAAGAGCAAGCGGCTCAACTAAACGAGCAGGCGGCTCAAGAGGACGAACAGGTTTCTCCCTTATCTCTAGCAGTCAGGTCACCAAAATTAACGCCTCTAGAGCAGCTGGATGCAGACTTTTCACGAGTCACAGCATGGAGATCATGGAAACTTTCAAGAATCCTTCATCAAGTTGAGACCTTAGTACACTTCATAGAGGTGGAAGACTTTATGGTAGAGTGGTTTGGAACTGATGACATGGAAGACGCTACAAGGCTCCACAAAATAAATCAAGTATATGCCATCAAAAAGAAGCAGCTCACTGCCAAGGAACAACTTGAAAGCTCAAGTGATGATGATAATGATGATGATCCCAAGGGACCTCCAAGCAACAAAGGTAACCAAATCATCCACTCCTCCTCTTCTAGTGACATAGAACTTAGAGGAGTAATGGAGAAATCCAAGATAGAAACTCAAGGAGGTGGTGAAACCTCCAAAGCAATGGAAGCAGTTGCAAACACAGAGCAGCCAACTGACATCTCACAACAGGCCACTCCACAATTTGACCTCAACCAAGAGCCTCAAATTGAAGAAGAAGAGGATACTCCAACTATGGCAGAGGTCTTCATCCAGGAAAGAAGGGTCACTACCAAATTCATCAGCAATGCTGAAGTGAGACTTCCCAAAAGGCTAATCAAGATGAAAAAATACTTCGATAAACTACTGGAGTCCCGGTTTGCAGAAGTCCACTGCCACATCAAGAGAAACTTGATGATTCAGCAGGTCTTCAATTCTGAGCAAAAGGTATAACTAAAGATTCAACTCTCCCAGCAACCTGCTCAGATTGAAGCCATACACAGGGAGCTTGCAGAACTACGCACAAAAGATAGAGAACTGGAAACCCAGATACTGCCTTATATCAGGCAACTGTGGGATCAAGAGCTAGCAGGTGGCTCCCAACCAAGAGCAAGCTCTTCAAAAGGTGCAGGAGCATGAAGAATATCTCAACAAGCTAAGGAATGAGGAATTCCATGCAATGTTCAAACTCTCTCAGAAGTTTCTCATAGAGCTCAAGCATATGAGCAACTAACCAAGGACATTGCTCAGAACTTCCAAGTTCTCCAAAAGGCAACTCAAGAAACCTTTTGGAAACAAGGCAATGATTTCTAGAAGCTAGGTCAAGACTTGCAAACAACAAAGCAAAAGCTTCAAAACCAAGAAACAAAGGTCAAGGATGACGTAAAGACAGACCTTATAGACATCAACGACTACATCAAAGCACTCTCCATAGAGGTCTATGGTCTCAACCCTACAAGAAGAAGAATTGAAGACATTGATGATGAAATTGAGGAACTCATTGAAGAAAGCTACATCCCTGATGATGCCAAAAAGGGGGAAATACTCCAGCAGGCCCCTCCTCCTCAAAGTCAGCAGCAGCAAAAAAGGGCAGCTGAAACAAGACGAAAGAACAAGTTGTACCAAGAAGAATAGCAAATCAGAAGAAGGAAAGCAGAAGAAGCCAAGAAGAAACTAGAAGAAGTCAACAAGAGTAGACTTGAGGATTACACCACCTCTGAACCAAAATACATCGTGTGTTGATTTTTCATTACATCAACAAAGCACACACCAAACACTCACTCACAAATTGACAAATCCTAGCTCTTTATTTTATCAAATACAGTTCCTGAAAGTAGAAGTTCGATACTCAGCAGTTGCCTCACTTCAGCCAACCGCTAAGTCAACTGCTCATCCAAATTCACCTTTCCAAGATATCTCAAGTCCACATTAGCCTTACCTTGCATCATCTCAGAAGATTGCATAACCATATCTCTTAAATCTTCAAACTCAACTTAGCAGCTGCCTCAGCAGAACTCTACTGTTGACCCCACTGCTCAGCCAACTGCTCACAAATAATCCATTCTGTGACTCAACTAAGAATCTTTCCTGAACAATCTTATTTACTGATTACTACATTTATAAGTCCATCTACTAGAAAGTTATCCTCACCGTTTATATAGAGGTCAAGACTTCCGTTGAGCATCTAAGGCCGAACGTCCTTGTAGCGTATTTCTTCCAAACTTGGTGAGGGCCTTCCCAATTCTTCGCCAGTTTTCCGCTCTCGAGCGGCTTGCTTTTTTCCATTTTTCAGAGAACAAGATCTCCTACTTCTATCGATCGGATCTTGACCTTCTTGTCAAAGTACCTCTGAGTTGCTCGTTGATACTCCTCCATTCTTCTTGTGGCCAAGTCCCTTCTTTATTCAATGAAGTGCAGTTCTGCCCGCAAGGCATCTTTGTTACGTTCGGGGTCAAAATGCATCGTTCGGTACATGGGTACCAGAACTTCCGTTGGGACTTTGGCCTGGAACCCGTTTGATAGAGTGAACGGCGTTTCCCCAGTAGTTGTCCTGGGGGTCGTTCGGCAAGTCCATAATATATTTTTTTTATTGCTAAAAAGAAATGGTACAATGCGAGAAAAACGTACAGAAAATAAAAAAGCAGTATAAAAAAAGAGAGAATAAATTTAAATAAAAACAAAAAAACTAAGCCCAAGGGAATTGTTTGGACTCTGATCTAGTCCTCATGTTGTGTCGCTGCTTGTTCTTCTGAGATTGTTTATAAATCTTCAGTGGTGTGTTCAAGTTATCTGTTGGCAAACAATTATCCGAAGTAATGAACTTGGATTTGTGGCAGATGATCCTATTGAATTTTGAGTCCTTTATATCATTTTGACTGGAGATTGTTGGTCGACGCTCACTTTCTGTTGCGTGGCCTAGAAATTCGTCTGAGAAAAAAGAGTCATCTGATGGATCATAACTGTCAAAACCATCTGAGTAGGCCTGAATCAGTGGTAGTTCGGGATGGATCTCGGAAGTGTGAGTTTGTTGTTGCTCGGCGTAGGCCCCCTTGCATTTGAAAATTAAATATAAGTTTAGATATTGACGTGGGTTCTACCGTGTCTGCCGTGGTTTTGAGTTCCAGATGCATTGGTTCCTCCTATACTGAAACGGAGATTCCCACAATATTAGAAAACATAGCCAGGAAAATCCAGCAGTCTGGAATATTTTGGACCCGTTGGAATCAAGATGAAACTTCCTTTTTCCTTAGCAATTTTCAGGAAGCAACCTGAATTATTAAGTTCCAAAGAAATTGTAATAGGACCAAAACTCCTTCGCTGCTTATAGTTATGGTCAGATCCTGTGAGCTGAGAAATATAGCGGATGATTTGTGTAGCCAAGTCAAGATTGAAACTAATCCTGTGCATCATAGATCTTTTTATCTCAAAAATAACAATTTCTTTGTTCTTGACCGCAAATTTAAATACTTTAGACTCAATTTTAATTGAGTCAAACCCTTCCTCCCCAAAGTAGTGGAATTTTTCACATTCCTTAAAAATTAAATCTGGCACAGCTCGATTTTCTTCGATAGTGCTCAAATTGACGTTGTCTTCAGCAAGAGAGATTAACTGATCTGAGATTGGAACAACCAGGTCAATGTTAGGAAATGAATTTTCTATGTTTTTTTTCAAGATATCAGCCCACGTAACTGTTTTTGGCATGTATGCAGAGCTACCGACATGGTTGTGATGATTCCCCTGGGTTTGAGTCAATCGTGGATCCACCGACCCCTGGTATTGATTGAGGCTGAGTCGTTCGTGGCTCCACCAACCCCCTGGTATTGATTGAGGCTCGGCATCCAAAGAAGTGGCCAAGGGGTCTGGCACTGCAGTCGGAGGTGCCTTTCCGTCTGGGCCTGGAGAATATGTTGTTATCGCTGGTACGGTTGCCGGCAAGATGATCGACGTTCTACCACTCGGTTCTTCACTGACAGGGGTTTTGGAGCTTGAAATGAAGAGGAGCATTCTTCGAGTTTATTTTTCATCCTGTCCATGATTGTTTTATTCATATTCTCGACCTGTCCGTTCGCCTAGGGGTAGGCCACTCATGCCCTAGAGTGCTTGATGCCCCATTTGGTCAGGTACTGCTCAAAGTTCTTGCTCACGAACTGCCTGTCGTTGTCGGTGATGATCTGCTCCGGGAGGCCGAATCGGCAAATGATGTTCTTCCAGACGAATTTCTGGCAATGAAAGTCTCTGATGCTGGCTAAAGGTTCGGCCTCCACCCATTTGGTGAAATAGTCAATCCCCACAATGATGTACTTCTTCCCCGCAGGAGCTGTAGGTAGGGGCCATAGCAAATCGATCCCCCGCCTAGCGAACGACAAGGCCGTGGTCATTGGGGTGTAGAAACTTGCTGGCCGTCCGAGCATATTTCAGGTATGTTCAAAGCAATCCCGCTGAATGGTTGGCTAGTAATATCCTTGTAAGATGATCTTTCTTGCCAAAGTCTTTGGACCCTGATGACTCGAACAGATCCCTTCATGGATTTCTTCCATCACAGTTGCTGCAAGGTCGGGCGGGAGACACTTTAGGTATGGTCCCCAAACATCTTCTTGTACAGTTGTCCTTCTACCAGCTCGAACATGGCGGACCTCCTCTGGATGCATGTGGCATTGTATGGCGAGTTCTTGTATGTTGGGAGAGTCATGTCCTTCAGCTAGTTGGTCATGTCTGTGACCCAACTAGGAACGACATAAGATATAGCCTCCACCTGAAGGACCATTGTGGCTGGCGTTGCTAGTGTCTCCCGATGGGCAAACCGCTGGATATGTGGAGGGATGAGCTGAGCCCGATCGTCCAGCGCAGCATTTTCAAGTTTCGATAGAATATCTGCCTTAGCATTCTCTATTCTGGAGATCTGGTCGGGCACCACCTGTTCAAATTTTCCGATTTGTTCCTCGACTAGCTCCTTGTAAGCCTTCATCCTTTCCTCTTTTGCCTCGGCGGTTCCGTTCACCTGGTCAACCACCAGCTGGCTGTCCAAACGTACCTTCAACCGACCGGCACCTAGGGCCTTGGCATACTTCAAACCTGCAATAAGGGCCTCATATTCGGCCTCATTATTAGTTACCTTAAAATCAAAGTGAATTGAGTAGTATGCCTTCAACCCCTCCGAAGATGTGATGACTGCTCCACCTCCACGGCCTTTGGCACTAGATGCCCCATCAACGTACATTTCCCACCAGTTGTCTGTGGAAGCACCATTCGAGCTATCCTCTGTTGGCCGAGCGGTGCATTCTGCAATAAAGTCTGCCAAGGCCTGACCTTTAATTGTAGGTCACGGCCTGAAGTCTACCTCATATTGCCCGATCAGGAGTGACCATTTGGTAATGCGTCCACTGGCCATCGGGTTCCTCAGGATGGTGGCGAGCGGCTAAGTGGTAAAAACAGTTACCGGATGGGCCTGAAAGTACGGTGCCAGACATTTGATAGCAGCTATCAAAGCCAGAATGGTCTTCTCCATCAAGGTGTACCGTGTTTCGGGTCCGTTCAGGGCTTTGCTGACAAAATAGATCAGCCACTGAACCCCATCAATATCCTTCAGCAGTACCGAACTTACAGCAAGATCAGCCACTGCGAGATACATAAACAAATGTTCCCCTGGATCAGCCTTACTTAGGACCAGGGGGAAGACAGGTAGGTTTTGAAATCTTCAAAGTCCGTTTGACACTCCCTGTCCATTCGAACGGGTTGGCCTTTTTCATGATCTGGAAAAATGGGATTACCTGATCGGCTAGTTCAGAAAGGAACTTGCTTAATGCGGCTAGCCGACGGGTCAACCTCTGAACCTCCTTCATGTTCCTGGGTGCTTCCATGTCCATGATTGCCTTGATTTTTTCGGGATTAGGTTCAATCCCTCGTTCGCTCATCATGTATCCCAAGAATTTGCCCCCCTTAACTGCGAAGGCACACTTCTTGGGATTTAGCCTCATGTTGGCCTTCCTCATGATTCTGAAGACTTCCTCCATGTTCCAAACATGATCCTCTTTCTTCATTCTCTTCATCAGAATGTCATCCACATAAGCCTCCATGGTGACTCCCAAAACTTCTTTGAATAACATCCCGAACATCCTTCGGAATTTGGCCATAGCATTCTTCAACCGGAACGGCATCACAATGTAGCAAAACACCCCATCCAAGGTGACAAATGTGGTTTTCTATGCATCAGCCGGGTGCATAAAGATCTGGTGATACCCCTGAAAGGCATCCATGAAGCTCAATAGTTCACACCGGACAGTCTCATCTACCAGCAAATCGATTCAAGGCACATGATAAAGATCCTTGGGGCATGCCTTGTTCAGATCGGAATATTCAACGCACATCCTCCAAGTTGGCCCATTCAGTGCGAGGACTACATTAGACTAACCCTCCACGTGGATTACTGGCCTTATGTGCTTGATTTTGAGTAGTGTGGCCACCTCATGTTTGGTAAAATCTCGCCGTTCGGGCGCCTGGTAGGGCTTCTTCTGCTAGACTGGTTTAATGTCCGGTCGAATTCATTAGCCATCCGGTGCATAGTTTCTGCCATTTTCCTCGTCACCCGAGGATCTCTTCTTGCAGCTTCAGGGATTAGATGGGTGAGATCCCCCGTTCGCTCATCATGTATCCCAAGAATCCCCCCCTAACTGCGAAGGCACACTTCTTGGGATTTAGCCTCATATTGGCCTTCCTCATGATTCTGAAGACTTCCTCCATGTCCCGAACATGATCCTCTTTCTTCCTGCTCTTGATCAGGATGTCATCCACATAAGCTTCCATGGTGACTCCCAAAACTTCTTTGAATAACATTCTGATCATCCTTTGGAATGTGGCCATAGCATTCTTCAACTCGAACGGCATCACAATGTAGCAAAACACCCTGTCCGAGGTGACAAATGTTGTTTTCTCTGCATCAGCCGGGTGCATAAAGATCTGGTGATACCCCCGAAAGGCATACATGAAGCTCAATAGATCACACTCGGCGGTCTCATCTACCAGCAAATTGATCTGAGGCACATGATAAGGATCCATAGGGCATGCCTTGTTCAGATCAGAATAGTCAACGCACATTCTCCAAGTTGGCCCCTTCGGGGCGAGGACTACATTAGAAAACCACTCCATGCGGATTACCGGCCTTATGTGCTTGATTTTTAGTAGTGTGGCCACCTCCTGTTTGGTAAAATCTCGCCGTTCGGCCGCCTGGTAGCGCTTCTTCTACTGGACTGGTTTTGTAACACCCCGCCCCGTAGGGCCCGAGGTAGTTACTCCAAACTCTCTCCGGACCCCTAGTACTATACTCACAAACCTCCACGAGCCTTTAACGCGCACTTTGTCCTTACTCGTACGCGCCCTGAGAAACTTCTCAGGGGGTCACCCATCCCAAGACTACTCCCGTGCAAGCACGCTTAACTTTGGAGTTCTTGGTGATGAGCTCCCTTAAAAGGAGATGCATCTTGTTGGTATGAGTAGTACTATTAATCCGTTTAAATTAAATCTCAAGTATTACAATCACCCCCACTTAGGAACGCAATGTCCTCGTTGCGCGCATAAACCAATCTCAAATCTCAATCAAATCAAAGAATCCTCCCCCGCTAAGTGCCCGCCCGATATCCAATGGGTCAACACACTGTCGCAGGGTTTCTCTAATACCAACTTCTAACACCCCGCCCCGTAGGGCCCGAGTTAGTTACTCCAAACTCTCTCCGGCCCCCTAGCACTGTCCTCACAAACCTCCACGAGCCTTTAATGCGCACTTTATCCTCACTCCTACGCGCCCTGAGAAACTTCCCAAGGGATCACCCATCCCAAGACTACTCTCGTGCAAGCACGCTTAACTTTGGAGTTCTTGTTTGCATCTTGTTGGTATGAGTAGTACTATTAATCCGTTTAAATTAAACCTCAAGTATTACAGGTTTAACGTCCGGCCGAATGGCTAACTCATGACAAATAATTTCTGGGTCTATGCCCGGCATATCTTCTGGTCCTCTGGCGAACAGGATCTGGAATTCCTTCAGTACTGCGATCACCCCTTCCCGAATCTCAGGGGCCAAATCCACTCCAATTGCAACCTGCCGATCGGAGGGTGAATCAAGCTCAACATATTCCAGCAAGGTGGCTGGCTTGGGGCGTGCGATAAATTCCGTCCGGCAGGTCTCCTCCACAATGTTATTCACCTACAGGCCCCAGTCATTTATCTTCTTCATCGCTTCCCTATAACAGCTTCAGGCTGTGTCCGGATCTATTCGGGCTACTCCAACCCCAGTGTCAGTTGGGAACTTTATGCAGGAGTGCCAAACCGAAGCAATCACTTCCAAGTCTTCTAATCTGGGTCTACCCAATATGGCATTGTGGTCGCATTGTCCACAATGTCATACGGACTGCCGCCCGGTGTCCCTGGTCTCCAATTTTGACCAGAAGGGAGATGGCCCCTTCCACATCGATACAATTTCTCGTGAAGCTTGCCAGCGGTGTTTTCAGGGGCGTCAGCTGGTCCCTCCCCAGTTTCTTCCTCTCGAACATCTGCAAGTACAGTACGTTCACGCTACTCCCTGTATCCACCAGGACTCGGCGAATAAGGGCATTATCAACACACATACTCACCACCAGCTCGTCCCTGTGCGAACTTGGTGATGCAGAAATATCCGCATGAACGATGTGATTGGTTCGATCCTTACCTTCTTCTGAGGCGGGTCAGAGATGGAAGCCACACGTAGGCTATGCTCGAACTTCTTCCGTTCGGCAGCCGTGTCCCCAGTTTCTCCCCCGCCAAAGATGACCTTGATTTCCATCCTTGGCTTCTTCCCTAGATTTCCTGAACCTTCGGCCTCCTCCCTGGACTGTATGTACACATCATTCCGTGGTTGGGCATCTCGGTGATGATCCCTCTTCTATCTCTTTGACCTCTTGTTTTGCTCCTGGACAGGGCCTGCTGCGTTCGGGTCTTTATTTACATACTTACCCAGGTGACCTTG